CAGGCAGGCAGGCAGGCACGCACGCACGCACGCAGGCACGCATGCATGCATGCACGTCGCTATATAAGTGCAACAATCTTGAACGCGACATTAAACCCCATTTCACCTCACTATGATTACTGGACATAGATATATTGTATGTTAAATGTGTTTAACTGAGATCAAGTACATATCACTATGTATCTAAATCTTCTTAGCCTATTTTGTATACTATATACCGTCTTTAACAACAACCCAGGGCTCCAAATTTTGGATAATATTCCAACACAACATATGTCAGAGACCTTCTTGTAGTTACGTCAAGTCCCTAAAAGTTAACAATGTACGTAAATTCCTACGCTTGTAGGGCCAATGTCAAGGTCATCCACAACGTAAGAGCTGACACGTTTGAAGCTCAGACAACACCTTTTTATCCACCAGGAAAGATGCCCACCTCAAACTAGACAATATATTCCCGTTCAGGGAGCCAGTCATGGTCCAACCTCTGTGCATAATCTGACGCCAGAAGTCGCACGAGAGTAGTAAAGTAGCGTTGCCATTACGACGCCGCTAAGCGTTGTTTGTACACACTTAAAAACGGACTCTTGTAGCACTTGTTCAAACGAGTGTTAAACATTTACATGCTGTGACTCCAGGAGCTCATCTACATGGCACCTCTGGTCTCAAACAACATATGTGTCATCTAGAAGATGCTAATAGAACAGAAAACTTTGTAGACAGACCCCACCCCGCTCTCCAATCCCGCCAATGTTTTCGTGACGGGAAACTGAGACGGTTTATCCAGCGACGGTAAAACCATCATTACATAATAAAGGCTATTCTCGTGGATCAGTTGCCGATGTCTCGCCAAGATAAACATCGGTTTAAACTGCGTCCCGTGCTGTGAGGTATGCTTCTGCGTGATAAATTCCAAGGTTTGTTTATGCCTACCAAGAACTGTTGGATTGGGCCTCAAACCGAACACCAGATACGAATAGCAACATTTCTGAATGGGCGACTCAAACTGTTTCAGTGGTGGGGTGAAGTGATGTGGTGTACCGAATATTTGTATTTAAAGTGTAGGATGCTGACAGTTGGACCTCACGTAGCAAGTGTGCCTGTGAGGGCTGAGATTACGCGCGTGGGTCGATGATATACTCGTTGTGTGGTCCGGTGGTGTGTTGGGGTGTCTTGTAGTGTGTTCCGGTGGTGTGTTGGGATGTCTTGTAGTGTGGTCTGGTGGGGAGTTGTGGTATTTTGTCTTTTGTCCGGTGGTGTGGTGTGAGGTGGTCCGATCGTGCGGTGTGAGGTGGTCCTGTCGTGTGATGTGGGGTGGTCCGGTGATGCGGTGTGAGGTGGTCCTGTCGTGTGATGTGAGGTGGTCCGATGATGCGGTGTGAGGTGGTCCGGTTGTGTGGTGTGAGGTGGTCCGGTGATGTGGTGTAAGATGGACCTGTCGTGTGATGTGAGGTGGTCCGGTCGTGTGGTGTGAGGTGGTCCCGTCGTGTGATGTGAGGTGGTCCTGTCGTGTGGTGTGAGGTGGTCCTGTCGTGTGGTGTGAGGTGGTCCGGTCGTGTGGTGTGATGTGGTCCGGTCGTGTGATGTGAGGTGGTCCCGTCGTGTGATGTGAGGTGGTCCTGTCGTGTGGTGTGAGGTGGTCCGGTCGTGTGGTGTGAGGTGGTCCGGTCGTGTGGTGTGAGGTGGTCCCGTCGTGTGATGTGAGGTGGTCCTGTCGTGTGGTGTGAGGTGGTCCTGTCGTGTGGTGTGAGGTGGTCCGGTCGCGTGGTGTGAGGTGGTCCGATCGTGTGGTGTGAGGTGGTCCGGTCGTGTGATGTGAGGTGGTGTGGTCGTCTGATGTGAGGTGGTCCTGTCGTGTGGTGTGAGGTGGTCCGATCGTGTGGTGTGAGGTGATCCGGTCGTGTGGTGTGAGGTGGTCCTGTCGTGTGGTGTGAGGTGGTCCGGTCGTGTGGTGTTAGGTGGTCCGATCGTGTGGTGTGAGGTGGTCCGGTCGTGTGGTGTGAGGTGGTCCGGTCGTGTGGTGTGAGGTGATCCGATCGTGTGGTGTGAAGTGGTCCTGTCGTGTGGTGTGAGGTGGTCCGATCGTGTGGTGTGGGGTGGCGTGGTCGTGTGGTGTGAGGTGATCCGATCGTGTGGTGTGAAGTGGTCCTGTCGTGTGGTGTGAGGTGGTCCGATCGTGTGGTGTGGGGTGGCGTGGTCGTGTGGTGTGAGGTGGTCCGATCGTGTGGCGTGAGGTGGTCCGATCGTGTGGTGTGAGGTGGTTCGGTCGTGTGGTGTGAGGTGGTCCGGTCGTGTGGTGTGAGGTGATCCGATCGTGTGGCGTGAGGTGGTCCGATCGTGTGATGTGAGGTGATCCGGTCGTGTGGTGTGAGGTGGTCCGATCGTGTGGTGTGAGGTGGTCCGATCGTGTGGTGTGAGGTGATCCGGTCGTGTGGTGTGAGGTTGTCCTGTCGTGTGGTGTGAGGTGATCCGATCGTGTGGTGTGAGGTGGTCCGGTCGTGTGATGTGAGGTGATCCGATCGTGTGGTGTGAGGTGATCCGATCGTGTGGTGTAAGGTGGTCCGATCGTGTGGTGTGAGGTGATCCGATCGTGTGGTGTGAGGTGGTCCGGTCGTGTGGTGTGAGGTGGTCCGGTCGTGTGGTGTGAGGTGGTCCGGTCGTGTGGTGTGAGGTGGTCCTGTCGTGTGATGTGAGGTGGTCCGGTCGTGTGGTGTGAGGTGGTCCTGTCGTGTGGTGTGAGGTGGTCCGATCGTGTGGTGTGAGGTGGTCCGGTCGTGTGGTGTGAGGTGGTCCGGTCGTGTGGTGTGAGGTGGTCCGGTGATGTGGTGTAAGATGGACCTGTCGTGTGATGTGAGGTGGTCCGGTGATGCTGTGTGAGGTGGTCCGGTGATGCGGTGTGAGGTGGTCCTGTCGTGTGATGTGAGGTGATCCTGTCGTGTGGTGTGAGGTGGTCCGATCGTGTGGCGTGAGTTGGTCCTGTCGTGTGGCGTGAGGTGGTCCGGTCGTGTGGTGTGAGGTCGTCCTGTCGTGTGGTGTGAGGTGGTCCGATCGTGTGGCGTGAGGTGGTCCGGTCGTGTGGCTTGAGGTGGTCCGGTCGTGTGGTGTGAGGTGGTCCGATCGTGTGGCGTGAGGTGGTCCGGTCGTGTGGCGTGAGGCGGTCCGGTCGTGTGGTGTGAGGTCGTCCTGTCGTGTGGTGTGAGGTGGTCCGATCGTGTGGCGTGAGGTGATCCGGTCATGTGGTGTGAGGTCGTCCTGTCGTGTGGTGTGAGGTGGTCCGATCGTGTGGCGTGAGGTGGTCCGGTCGTGTGGTGTGAGGTGGTCCGATCGTGTGGCGTGAGGTGGTCCGGTCGTGTGGCGTGAGGTGGTCCGGTCATGTGGTGTGAAGTGGTCCTGTCGTGTGGTGTGATGTGGTCCGATCGTGTGGCGTGAGGTGATCCGATCGTGTGGTGTGGGGTAGCCCGGTCGTGTTGTTTGGGGTGGCGTGGTCGGGTTGTGTATTGTGATGCTGTGTGAGTGTGGCGTGATGCGGTGTGAATGTGACGTGACGCGGTATGGTATTTTGGTCTGGCTGTGACTCACTCACTCACTAGTGGTGTTTGGGTGTGGGGTGTTGTGTTCGGTTGTGTGGTGTGGTGTGGTGAGGTTTTATCATTTTAATTTGCTTGACTGTAATTGTGTTTTTTCCCATGCAATGTTATATGGAAGCCCGACAAGGCACAGTCTATGCACAGTCCAATCAAAATCGCGCAACGAAATCAACATCCGGTTCGTAAACTGCCGTGCAGACTTGCAAAGCATGTGTACCGTCAACCTAGCATCAATGTAATATATTTTCCAAATCTTTTTATGTTTTTAATCAAGGTGCTCGCGCGAATTGATGCACTTCGCGAAGTAAGACCCGTTATATTACAATATAGATCTTGATTATCGTTAAGATCGTCTTCTCTGGGCGACGCCATTTTGTTCGAAGCAAATGCAAGTGATAGCAGAGGTGGAGTTTGATTGGTGAATAGGAGGGACATAGAAGGGACACTTGTGGCGCTACGATCGAGCCCAGGAATTCCGGGTGGAAAACTGGACTTTGCCTCGGGAAGATAGTTCTCACTATTCACTTGACATAAATGGAGTATCAGGTTCCATGTGGTTTCCAGTGTGTCTGGCAGCGAGATCTCATCTCATCTTAATGACATCTTTCTATCAAGCAAAGCAGGAGATGCAACATGATTCGTTGATTTGCATTTAAGCACTTAAAATGTAGTCTTATGATAACACATCAGCTTTGTTTAATATATATGAACTTTATATGAAATGCCTGCACGTACCTGACTAAGCACGGAATGTTTAAGCACACTGTTCGCGCACAGCGCGCAGTCTGTATCCGGACTATATATCCGACTGTACTCGGACTGTACTCGGACAGTGAATTCCAATGAATTCCTACTTTACTTAGGGATGCCTTTTGAGGGCCTATGTCTACCGCAATATTACGATATCGGGACATTATTTTACACATACATGGATGCATCCTGACGACTGAAGTGAATCGTCATGGGATTAAATCGTGAAATGCTGCACGTCGATGCATCTCGCTTCTTTACAAATCGTGAAATGCTGCACGTCGATGCATTTCGCTTCTTTACAAATCGTGAAATGCTGCACATCGATGCATCACGCTTCTTTACAAATCGTGCAATGCTGCACGTCGATGCATCTCGCTTCTTTACAAATCGTGAAATGCTGCACGTCGATGCATCACGCTTCTTTACAAATCGTGAAATGCTGCACGTCGATGCATCACGCTTCTTTACAAATCGAGGAATCGTTCCACAATATCTCAGCATGCCACATTGCAGTACATCGCTCGTGTAGTCGGAATGATGCATGGAGAACGCTATTGGTGAAGCCTGTCGCCATTTCAGGAAGACTCCCGCGATCGGCGCTTCATTCCCCCAGAACCAGTCAGTCATACCTGAGCATGCATCCAGTCACTATTGGTGTTGCAGGGGCACTTCACCGGCTTTACACCACTCCCACCCGCACCGGAAGAGGTGAATTGTCATGTTGCAATCAGATTGGTGAGTACTTTTACAAAATATCAAACTATTTTGAAAGAGAAAAGCAGCACGACATTCCCTGAACAGTCTTCAAATCTTGTTAAATCATATAAACACTTAAATAGTTTCTGAAACTACGTAAAAAGACTGAACCATCATGGCTTTAATATTTTTTAGAGCGGCAGAAAAGAAAGAAATCACTTATTCATGAACGGTATCACGAATAGATTACTTATAATTGGGAAATTATCTTAAAATGTGGCACAATATTCCTAAGAGTTTACTTTATTGCAAAATATCCCAGACAGTGTATGCAACTCTAAAGAAACATGCTATCTCTTACAAGATTGTGCAATAGCCTATAATTCGAATTATTTCCCCCAAAGTCATGACACTTTCAGTTTATACTGTTTAAGCTGTTTGATCTGTTACTATATAGTGCAATAAAACTAATCATTTGTATATCGGAAATGACAAATGACAAAGTTTATTGTAGTCTTCACGTTTCAGACCGAGTACGTTGGAGGACGTTGTATTCAACTGGGGACAAGGAACGTGTGCCAGTCCAGCACTGTGCTGGATCCCTTCAGCAGCGAGTGTCACAACAGCAACAGACGGAGCAGAAACCGCCAGGCACGAAGGAGGGGGAGACACAGCAGCCGACGAAGACGGAATCAGACGGCGAGATCTCGAAGACTCTCGGAAGCAGGAATTGTAAAGAGTCACAATGTTACATTCCTTACTAAATTATGTTCATTGGAATTTAAATGTATTGGTTGTTGTTTGACATCGGACTCAGCAATATTCCAGCAGTATGACGGTGACCTGCAACTACCTGAGTCTGGACCAGACAAACCAGTGATCGATATCAAGGCCCACGTAGTCGGGTACGATGACACGCAATCAACAAAGTCCTAGAGGTGACCATCCAATCCATAGATTGACATCGCTCAATTTTAACCCTGAATCGCCATGGGAAGTTGACATAACAATCAAAACGGGAAACATGTGCTTTTAGTGATGGAACTATGTAACCCAAAAGGTACTAGCAATTAAAGAGATGAGAGCAAAGCAGGAATATGTAACTCTAAGATTTATGGAAACGAGGCCTGTTTGCTCAGTCTACACACAACCACATGATATGAAGCTATATGCTTGCTTCGAATGTGCATATATAACTACATGTTTCATGGTAAAACTAGATGCCTGTATAGAATGTGTATATATAACTATATGCTTTAGGATAAAACTAGATGCTTGTATAGAATGTGTATTTATCATCCAAAACTGGCTCCCACAGAAGATATCGCTTGGGTGAGATCAAGCGATATCTACACTGTAGATATCGCTGCAATGAAATTACATCACAATGCTTTGCTGACCATTGTGACGTCACTGGTTACCATGACGTCACAATCAAATGACATCACTAATGGCTCTGCTACTGAAGCTGTTTGCAGTACTTTTTACACTGAAGAAGTTTGTATAGAATGTGCATATATAACTACATGCTTCAGGATAAAACTAGATGCTTTCTTCGAATGTGCATATATAATTACATGCTTCAGGATAAAACTAGATGCTTGTATAGAATGTGCATATATAACTACATGCTTCAGGATAAAACTAGATGTTTGTATAGAATGCGTATATATAACTACGTGCTTCGGGATAAAACTAGATGCTTGTGTAGAATGTGCATATATAACAACGTGCTTCGGGATAAAACTAGATGCTTGTATAGAATGTGCATATATAATTACGTTCTTCGGGATAAAACTAGATGCTTATATAGAATGTGTATATATAACTACGTGCTTCGGGATAAAACTAGATGCTTGTATAGAATGTGCATATATAACTACATGCTTCAGGATAAAACTAGATGCTTATATAGAATGTGCATATATGACTACATGCTTCAGGATAAAACTAGATGCTTATATAGAATGTGCATATATAACTACATGCTTCAGTATAAAACTTGATGCTTATATAGAATGTGCATATATAAATACATGCTTCAGGATAAATCTTGATGCTTGTATAGAAGGTGTATTTATAACCACATGCTTCAGGATAAAACTAGATGCTTGTATAGAATGTGCATATATAACTACATGCTTGAGGATAAAACTAGATGCTTATATAGAATGTGTATATATAACCACATGCTTCAGGATAAAACTAGATGCTTATATAGAATGTGCATATATAATTACATGCTTCAGGATAAAACTAGATGCTTGTATAGAATGTGCATATATAACTACATGCTTCAGGATTAAACTTGATGCTTATATAGAATGTGTATATATAACCACATGCTTCAGGATAAAACTAGATGCTTGTATAGAATGTGCATATATAACTACATGCTTGAGGATAAAACTAGATGCTTATATAGAATGTGTATATATAACCACATGCTTCAGGATAAAACTAGATGCTTGTATAGAATGTGCATATATAATTACATGCTTCAGGATAAAACTAGATGCTTATATAGAATGTGCATATATAACTACATGCTTCAGGATAAAACTAGATGCTTATATAGAATGTGCATATATAACCACATGCTTGAGGATAAATCTAGATGCTGTTAGAATATGCATATATAACTACATGCTTCAGGATAAAACTAGATGCTTGTATAGAATGTGCATATATAACCACATGCTTCAGGATAAAACTAGATGCTTATATAGAATGTGCATATATAACTACATGCTTCAGGATAAAACTAGATGCTTGTATAGAATGTGTATATATAACCACATGCTTCAGGATCAAACTAGATGCTTATATACAATGTGTATATATAACTACGTGCTTCGGGATAAAACTACATGATTGTATAGAATGTGCAAATATAACTACATGCTTCAGTATAAAACTAGATGCTTATATAGAATGTGCATATATAACTACATGCTTCAGGATAAAACTAGATGCTTGTATAGAATGTGTATATATAACTACATGCTTCAGGATAAAACTAGATGCTTATATAGAATGTGCATATATAACTACATGCTTCAGGATAAAACTAGATGCTTGTATAGAATGTGCATATATAACTACATGCTTCAGGATAAAACTAGATGCTTATATAGAATGTGCATATATAACTACATGCTTCAGGATAAAACTAGATGCTTGTATAGAATGTGTATATATAACCACATGCTTCAGGATAAAACTAGATGCTTAAATTGAATGTGCATATATAACTACATGCTTCAGGATAAAACTTGATGCTTGTATAGAATGTGCATATATAACCACATGCTTCAGGATAAAACTAGATGCTTATATAGAATGTGCATATATAACTACATGCTTCAGGATAAAACTAGATGCTTGTATAGAATGTGTATATATAACCACATGCTTCAGGATAAAACTAGATGCTTGAATAGAATGTGCATATATAAATACATGCTTGAGGATAAAGCTAGATGCTTATATAGAATGTGTATGTATAACCACATGCTTCAGGATAAAACTAGATGCTTATATAGAATGTGTATATATAACCACATGCTTCAGGATAAAACTAGATGCTTATATAGAATGTGCATATATAAATAAATGCCTCAGGATAAAACTAGATGCTTATATAGAATGTGCATATATGACTACATGCTTCAGGATAAAACTAGATGCTTGTATAGAATGTGTATATATAACCACATGCTTCAGGATAAAACTTGATGATTATATACAATGTGTATATATAACCACATGCTTCAGGATAAAACTAGATGCTTATATAGAATGTGCATATATAACTACATGCTTCAGGATAAAACTAGATGTTTGTATAGAATGTGTATATATAACTACATGTTTCAGGATAAAACTAGATGCTTGTATAGAATGTGTATATATAACTACATGCTTCAGGATAAAACTATATGCTTGTATAGAATGTGCATATATAACTACATGCTTGAGGATAAATATAGATGCTTATATAGAATGTGCATATATAACTACATGCTTGAGGATAAATCTAGATGCTTATATAGAATGTGCATATATAACTACATGCTTCAGGATAAAACTAGATGCTTATATAGAATGTGCATATATGACTACATGCTTCAGGATAAAACTAGATGCTTATATAGAATGTATATAACACGACAAGCTTCTGGACGAGATGATATGCTTGTTTCAAATGTGCATATATATCAACGTGCTTCAGGATGCTTGAAAAAATGTGTATATAAAACAACATGGTTAAAGATGAGATGAGATACTTGTGTAGAATGTGCATGGGTAAAGTCGAGCTGATATGGTTGCATAGAATATGGATATATAACAACTTGGTTGAAGATTAAATGAGATGATTGTATAGAATGTGCACATATTACCACATTTGTGAAGGAGAGATGAGATGTTTGTATGAAATGTGCAATGATAAAGAGCTGATATGGTTGCATAGAATATGGATATATAACAAATTGGTTGAAGATTAAATGAGATGCTTGTATGGTATGTGCACATATTACCACATTTGTGAAGGAGAGATGAGATGTTTGTATGAAATGTGCAATGATAAAGAGCTGAAATGGTTGCATAGAATGTGGATATATAACAACTTGGTTGAAGATTAAATGAGATGATTGTATAGAATGTGCACATATAACCACAAGCTTCAGGATAAACTAGATGCTTGAAAAAGATGCAACGGTTAAGATGAGGTGAGATAATAGTATAGAATGTGCATATATAACCACATGGACTAAGATGAGGTGAGAGGCTAGTATAGAATATGCATATTTAACCACATGGGTTAAGATGAGGTGAGATGCTATTATAGAATGTGCATATATAACCACATGGGCTAAGATGAGGTGAGATGCTAGTATAGAATGTGCATATATAACCACATGGGTTAAGATGAGGTGAGATGTTTGTATAGAATGTGCATATATAACCACATGGGTTAAGATGAGGTAAGATGCTAGTATAGAATGTGCATATATAACCACATGGGTAAAGATGAGGTGAGATGCTAGTATAGAATGTGCATATACAGGACAACATGGCTAAAGGCGAAACGAGATGCTTGTATAGAATGTTTAGCTGTAATCATAAGACAAGCTGCTTGTATTGGCTTTTGTTGACCTTTGGACTATAATGACTGCATATGAGGAGCAGATGCGTGTGAGGTCTGGAACAGAGTACGAGCATGCATGATGTGTTGAAGTGTAGGCAGTACAAATGAGCAAAGTAAGGCTCAATCATTTATCCGATGCATCTATTACAATTAACTATTCCTCCATTTCAACAGGAAATGTCAATTAATGCTTGTATGCCTTTCTTAAATTCAGTGTTCTTAGTTCATGCAAGCTACGCTCTACATTTGGTTTACGTATTTGAGACTCAACAAATAAGAAAAAACAAACCTGCATGTTCCTGAATTTAAAATTTGAAAACTGAATTAATGCTTTAAAATATTTTAAGTGTCAATCTCAGGGGAAAATAGTTTCAACAAATGTCCCACAACACTAGTATTTCAAAGTTCAGGAACCACCAACAGTTTCAGTCTTCAATACGAACACCATCTCATCCACAGGAACGTTTTGCAGAACATGGACTTGGAAGATCTTGATGTGAATTTCACATCACACTGCTACCAACCTGTCATATCATCATTAGTGACTTCTCTGTTGTTGACAATGACAAAGTTTCCTCAGTTATTCAAATATATTGCGAACAGCCTGCGACTAAATGGGATGACATATTTCAAATAATTATTAAAGATATTGTATCGTATGCAAAAAAATATCAAAAAGAGAAGATGAATCTGTTGAATGTATTTAAGTCAGTATGTAGAGTTAAGTCAGTCAGTAGAGTAAAGTCAGTGTGTGTGATTTTGTCATTGGAAGAATTCACAATTTCAAACTGAAAACGGGGAAACAGAATTAAAATAAACCTATTCTGTCCCAGCCAGCTGTCATCACAAGTCTTGCTGCCCTTTATAAACAGTTTGTAGCTGTTCCCACTGACAAGGCTTCAGATAACATAACCATTGTATGTAAACATCACTACATTAATTGTTTGATCAGTAATATGGCTTGGCTCTAAAGCCTGAAGATATGCCCGTTCCTCTTGTGTACTGAATTCCAAATCTCCACAAACCTCAATACAAAAGGATATATATATATATGTTGCTGGGTCCAGAAGATGTACGATCAATGAAGGATTTCCTATATATTCACAGAAGGTGGAGACAAGTGGAATTAATACTATTTGGATTCTCAAAAATTCTCAAAATGAAAAATTTGCTTAAATATTGCAATCTCAGAAAAAGTTCCATTCGGTCAGAACATTTTATTTTCCACGTTGTACCCCACTATCCCAGAGGTAAAAATTCATTCCTTGACCCATGGAACGTTCGTCACTCAACTGGACATCTGTGTCAAAATTCTGAATAGGGCATTTAGACAAAAAGTAGGCATCCCAATGGGTACCAGTTGTGTTCCCCTTCTTGCTGATCCGTTTCTTTAAGGATATGCAAAATCAAACAAGGGAATTTGGCCAAGAAGTTTAAGTTAAGCTTCAGGTATATTGATTATGTGATATTATTCAGTAATGGCCAAACAGCCAATTCCCTTCTACTGATCCACCTGATTTAGAAATAAAAGATAACAGTGAAACCGCCGCATGTGTTTCATAATGAGATCTATGCAAAAAGACTATCCACAATACTGTATGACAAGAGGGATGACTTCAAATTACCAATTTTCAACTTTTAAATCGAGCAATAATTCCAGCAGCTCCAGCTTTTGGTGTCTCCATTTCACAACTTTTGAAGCACAATCGAACATATATTTTTCTAGATTTCAAACCGCTTCATACGACTCTTGTTCAGAAGTTGTTTGATCAAGGTTACAACATGGTCAATACCTCAGAAATGCTCTCCAAACGTTTTGTGGTAGACATGTGGAGGACACGTCCAAATTTGACACATCAGTTCCAGAAATGATGTCCGATGTAATTCCCTATTTTGACTTATGTTTTTTTCAGTTGAACAATTGACTTGCGTTTGTATGTCTTGGCGACGGGTGCCATATAATTTGGATATGTCAAGTATGACTAGATTACAGAATTTAACTCAACAGACAAATGAAATGTTGGAATAACCAGATCAATATTTGCGTGCAACTCTCCAAAGCCATGTTCCAGATTCAGCGTTGGCAGCTAGACCATGTCATGTTTCCGGAAGTGGGCTCTAGGGCATGTTTCTGTCATTGCAGGGACCATACGGAGATTTGGCCACTCTCCTAGGAAACAACAACCTGGAGGACTTGAGCAGCTTCACACCGTCACCACCTGCCTTGGAGGATGTGGAGTGCCATGTAGAAATTAGAAGGGTGAGACTACCACATTCTCTCGTATGCATGTTTATCTTTACCAGAAGTTTTCCCCAAACGATAACAGAGTCTTGTAGAAGTTGGGCTAGCTGGGGCGAGAACCAGCTTAGGGCCTTGTCAAGTGTCAGTTACTGTTTGACGGCTAATTCCTGTTGTTTTTCTTCGTCGTCTAATCGCAACGACGAGCAATTTCTGTCTCACTCTAACTGTTTTTAAAAAATATTACTCAACAGACTGAACAAGTTGGCGGACGGTGTATTCAGTTAGGGGCCAACAGCATCCACGCGTGTCAGGCTGGCGCCCATCTGGACCCTTTCAGCCACGACTGCGAGAGACAAAATGGCGGAAACCGGAACCGCAATAGAAACAGAGGTCACAGTGTGAGACGGCCGTTCAGGGGACGGTCCGCTGGAAGCACGAGCCGTAACCCGCATGCTTGAAGGTCAAGGTCACAATGACGTAGGAGCTGTGAAAAGACATAGTTGAAGCGGATGTTAATATTGACCATGCGCAGTGTGCAGTTGTATACATTACTACACTATTGTGTTTTGGTGTAATGTAAATTTGGATATCAGTGCTGTGTTGTTTCTGTCTTCCAAACTGAGAAATTACTTTGCCATTATTCAGGTGCAGTCATTGTATTCAGCCATTTTCTAAAACAAAAAAAACCCCTTGTTAATACAAATGTAGTAATCATTAGAAAATTGGTAAATGGCTTTAGCTATATCAAATTTATTTTAGACTATGAATGTGTATATTTTGAAATACGTCTCCTTCCTTTTATAAGGATATTGTTTGTTATTTGTAACCGTTTTTTACCCAACGTGTTGTGGCAATTATGGCCTGGTTTAACACAGGATGTTGTGGCCTATGTATACCTGTACCTAGAATATCCATGTCAGTGTATTAACATTACCTCTTTTGATACAAACATTGGCAATTGAATGTATTTTCCCAACACTTCTCTAGTGAATTATTAGGATTTGTTGTGCCATACGTATTGTGATAGGTAGATGGTTCAAGTATTTATGAGTTTATGTTAACTTAGAGTTAGAATATGTTACATCTGTTCCTTGTATATGTATAACCAAACACAAGTCTGAGGTCACTCTGTATGACAGTACTGGTAGACATCATACAATTAATCTGAAATTAATAGCTAGGTATCAAAAGGTGGTTGGCTGGACGTTTATTTTTCGGAGAAGCAAGGAGGGCTTTAATATGTTAGAGTTTGGGTCAAACTGTTTACAATGCTAGCATATCACAATCCATTGCCCGTTGCACCCATGCAGTGTGTAGATACAGCTGCATAACTTGAAGACAGTGTCAGGTTCAAGGTGAACAGATTGACGCCTGGTGTCACTTTAAGGATTCACTGTATATCGAGATAGCATATAATAATGTGGAACTATGAGGACACAACATCGATCGTGACTGACAACATTCTGGGAAGCTAGAGTATACTAAGCACCAAAAGAAACTTTTAAAATTTTGTTATATAACACAACATTGATAGTGACTGATTACTTTAGGACAATGTCCGAAACCTCCATGAGATCTGATTGGTTCACGTGATCTTGATAAAATACTTTTTTCATACCTCCATGTCAGAATGATGAGATCTGATTGGTTCAAGTGATCTTGATAAAATACTATGTATCCTGCCTGGGATGGAAATACATTTCTGAGCGGGAGAATAAATCCCTTATACCCCGCCACGAATCAGACAGGCTGCACGTAGATTTCTGAGCGGGGTAATAAATCCCTTGTACCCCGCTTCAAAGTAAAATGCCTCACGTTTTCTCCAAGTCGATGAAAGTCATACATAGGACAACTTAATCTTAACTAAATCGAACAGCTGTTTTCTAACAATTTTGAATTTGTTTTAATTCTTTTACAGAGACATATTAAAACATGTCGGTAAGATAAAATCGTTGCAGCAGCAACGCTCGTGATACATGGGTTTTAATGCGTCCCTCACTATCAATGTTATGTTATACTACAACTTATCCTAATGTGTTCAGTCACTATCAATGCTGTGTTTTTTATCATAAGTTGTAGCAGTATCACGAGGGGTACACGGGGTTTTATGCGTCCCGTGTTAGGTTTTATACCACGACCCGGATTAGGACAATCTGTCGTATAACACAACATTGATAGTGACTACACACATTAGGACAATCTATAGTATTAGATAGCATTGTGACGATATACACCAAGAAGAGCTTAACACAGCATTGATAGTGACAACAAACAGGTGATGCACGCTATTTACACGTTCCACACGTTGACAGTCTCTAGCATAGTATGACTTGTCTTTATGTTCAGCTTAAACTCCTTTGTTTCGACTTCATGGCGCATTACTGCTTATGGCCCTTGTCCAATACAAGATTACCATATGATTAAATTTATGTTTCGATGAAGTATTTCTGACGTTGCATTGTATATCCATGTGTGCTGCAGGTGCGGTTCATGCTCAAGGTGGTATTTGATAGAGGTGAAGATCATGCGGCTCTGCTTCGCATTGCACTGTCTCACGCAGTGTCCAAACACTGTAACCTGGTGTTCCCTATTTTCGCGTTATTTATGGTAAACAGATATGGGAAGTGTACTCGTTGACAATATTTTGGCTGCGTATTGATACAAAATCTTTCTAAGACTGTCAAATTATAAGGTTTATATTTATGATGTACATAAGCTCTTTTTTAATGGCTAGTGTTTAAAGTAAGAAATGGCTATTTTGTTAACTAAATAATGGCTATTTGTGAAGTAAGTAATTTTCTTAATTAAGTTAATGCTTATTTGTTGAGTAAGAAATAGGTAATTATTGAATTAAACTATGACTAATTTGTAAATTAAGTAATGGCTTGTTTGATAACTAAGTAATGGCTAGTTTGTGAAGTAAGGTTACCAAGTTCTTACGCTATTAACCAAAACCTCTTATATGTAGTGGTCAGATGATTGAGGGGCGGGTGGGTGTGTGTGTGTCATATCGCTGATATGCATGAACAAGCTGACGAACGAGTCATGATAAAAAAACAACTTTATTTTTTGGGCAGATAAGATTATCGTAGGTGCTTGTTTCCCTTGTCCCTCAGGTATTCCATGCATATTAACGTTAAAACTGACATGAGGCCACACAAAATGCCCCTCCAAGGAAGAAAGATTTCGCAGACTTTCTGATTCAACAATGGTTTTGCTGTTCGCCAGATGGGTGATGTAAAAAGGTGCAACTTCGGAATGGAACATAACCGGAACAGAATGTTGTATGCAATAAGTAACAATGGCTTTGGGGTCGGGTCGATTTTTTAAGTCGGTCCGTGATTTGGAACATTACTGTTTTTATGTGGCCATATTAGAATGAGAATATGCCAGCGATCTTCCTTCTCTTTCTAGGACTTAAATTACAGCAGTCAATCATCAACAAGGCGTGTATCTTGTAGAATAGCACTATCACTGAGGGACGGCTCTCAGCAATGCATCGTGACGGGGCACTACACCAGCCAGTAACTGGCAAGTCAATGTAATAACGTTGGGATACAGTAGGTAGGCTGGAGTATATGGGCGCCGTCCCCCTGTACGAGGCACGGAGCTACCATGCATAAGTTAATGTTCGAGTTTTATCTTGTTGAACGATGTTGTTTGAGTACTTGAAATTCATGTTTTATATAATCCGTGTAGAATACATGCTGTCTATTTCAATGTTTCAAGCAATGTAATAAATATAGTAATAATTAAGCTATGATGTGGAGTTTTATGTGTCAGCATTGCACACGGCATTAGGCTTAAGGGTTTGGGATCCGTTTCACAAAGCTATCGTAGAGCTATCGCATATCCTACACTTAAACATAGACTCACGACTCGTTGCACTACGATCGCTTTGTGAAACGGACCCCTGGTACCTATTTTCAGTGTATTTGTTTTAATCAGTGTCTTGTGTGGAACTGAGACGTTCACTCTTTGTGTTTAGTACAACGTGGTGCAAGTGTCTAGGATCATAAAGGGCGGTCGGGTAGCCTCGTGGTAAAAACGTTTGCTCGTAACGCCGAAGACCCGGGTTCGATTCCCGACATGGGTACAATGTGTGAAGCCGATTTCTGGTGTCCACCGCCGTGATATTGATGGAATATTGCTAAAAGCGGCGTAAAACCATTCTAACTCACTCACTCAAGATCATAAAACGTAGTTCCGTAGATGAGGAACTTAAAGCGCAAAATCATTTCAATAACCATAAGAAGAGCAGGGTCCTTGGTACGATTCCGCCGGCATATGACATCATTTTGGTCCCCGAAGCCTCGAATTTGGAAAGTTCACCCACATGTCTTCCATAAACTTTTCTGGGGCCTTATAAAATGTAACCCTGATCAATTGAGCAAGAGTCACATGACGCTCTTTGAAATCTTTGTAGAAAAAGCATGCTCGATTGTACCTCAAAAGTTGTGAGATGTAGACACCAAGGCTGGAGCTGCTGGAATAAGGGAAGTTGACTATTGGAAAAGTGATGTTTCTATGACTTGAGCCATACACGTTGGGAATGCCAATATACCAGAGTGCCCATTAGGAGAGAATTGTTGTGGAGAGAAAGTTGTGCTGACCATTGACATGGCGGACAAGAAGATCTGCAGCATCAGTCATCCTTCTTCTTCATCTGTTTCCTTCCGCCTCCGTGGTTAAGTGGGAGCGGAAGGTCCGGGGTTCGATCCCCGGCCGCGTCATACCAAAAGACATTAAAAGATGGTACTTGTTGTTACCTGTCTGGCGCTCGGCATTAAGGGCTAAAACAAGGACTGGTCGGCTCGGAGTCAATATACTGTGTCTGAGTGGGGTATTCATGTTAAACTGCGGCATGGTATTTCAGTGGGCTAGCACTATAAATCAGCATTAGTCCGGACAAGTACAAGCAGCCACCCACACCTACACCCACCCACACCAACACGTGCATGCATGTCGCTATATTAGTGCAATAATCTTGGACCCGACGTTAAACCCCATTTCAAATTCTCTATATCCGTAACTATTCGGGTTGCCCCGGAATGACACGAGTTGTCACGAATACAACGCCCCATCAATTACAACGGACTCCGACTGAGTGAAGCGAACAGAAAATAGCTGACAGCGTTGAATTAAGTGATTAAGGAAATCGGGAGTAGGTTATGGGTGATACACATATGGAACTCGTTTATCTGCCGACTTTATGCTAGAAATGGTCCCAAATGTCCCAATGAGTTGATAGCAAGACAGAATATTCAATATGGTTTGAGGAGGAGGGCTGTGAAGATGAAGAAGCATTTGCTTAGGATATAGTTTTCACTATTTTATGTCCGCTTCAGTAACTGTGTCCACACCACGTATTCCAATACACCAACAGTTTCGTCCTTGGACGCTCCGCGGTGATCAGACAGGTGTATTGTCCGATATGGGTGGCTGAGGTGCTGAGGTGTGTGTGTGTGTGTGTGTGTGTGTTAGTGTTAGTGTGTGTGTGAGTGTGTGTGTTAGTGTGTGTGTTAGTGTGTGTGTGTGTGTGTGTGAGAGTGTGTTAGTGTGTGTGTGTTAGTTTGTGTGTGTGTGTTAGTGTGTGTGTGTTAGTTTGTGTGTGTGTGTGTGTTAGTGTGTGTGTGTTAGTGTGTGTGTTAGTGTGTGCTAGTGTGTGTGTGTTAGTGTGTGTGCTAGTGTGTGTGTGTGTGTGTGTGTGTTAGTTTGTGTGTGTGTGTGTGTGTTAGTGTGTGTTAGTGTGTGTGTTAGTGTGTGTGTGTGTGTGTGTGTGTGTGTGTGTGTGTGTGTGAGACCGCGGAACAAGACTACGTCAGCGTGGGGACAGTGAAGACCGCTGACTGTGCATGTATCGTTATTTACATATATGATGTATCGTTAGGACATGTTTCGGCGCGGCTGCTCAATTGAGGATTGAATGTTGTTTTGTATTACAGCAATACCATGGCGTCTGTAAACAAATCGAGTGTCGATCTGTCCAAACCATACCACGAGCAACGATTCATGTCGTCGGTATAAGATGACACGCATTCAGCTAGGTTCTACTCTACAAATCTACCTTGACGTGTAGAGAACGTTATTTTAGTTATATAATTTGTTTGTTTGACGTTTAGAGCAGCACTCCGCAATATTTCAGCTGTAGGATTACTGCGATATGTAAATAATCGAGTCTGGACCACACAATCCAGTGATTGACATCATGCGCATTGATCTACGCAATGGAGATACGATGACAAGCATCAAACAAGCTGGCGAACCTGACCGCCCAATCCCATAAGTCGTCTCTCACGACAAGCACGGGTTGCTGGAGATCATTTCTCACCCGCATCTTCACGGGGATCAGTTATATAACAGCGTGCCAGCTTGACTTGGCAGGAATCCCAGAGACGTTAACCACTTTGGCCAACAACCTTGGGGCACAGATGCAGTGTTGCTGAGTGTTCACAGAACACAGATGACGTCGTCTAACGGACACGACTCAATTGCGCATGACACGACTGGGTCACCACTGCCCTATTTGTGTCCTTGTATGACAATAAACATTATTAACCAAATGAATTATTTACTCATATACTTTTATAATACATTTACAGATCAATATTCGTCATGTCATTTACATCAATTAACATCTCATATTTACCAAACAAATACAGACATGCAACCGGAACAGACCAACAATCCACACATTCAGACAAACACAACTTGCAGCATGAAAAAACAATAAAAAAAAAACAACAAAAACTTACAGCATGTTTTTTTGTTATTACGCCACATTCAGCAATATTCCAGATATACGACGGCGGTGTGTAATAATCGAGCCTGGGTAAGGATAGGATATATAGATAAACAACTTCTTCATTACAATTAGGAGCGACGTTTTGGTGTAGGTTCTATCACCGTTATCAAGCAAGTGTAAGAACCTACACCATAACGTCGCTCCTAATTGTAAAAAAGAAGTTGTTCATCCATATATCTTATCCTTACTTGGTACTCCAACTCCCTCAAAGAAGTTAATCGAGTCTGGACTAGACAATCCAGTGACTGGCATCACGAGCAGTTATTGGGATACGATGACGATGACGTGCATCAACCAAGACAGCGAGCCTGACCACCGTTAGTCATTTTTAATTGTTTGTTTGTTGTTTAACGCCGCACTCAGCATTATTCCAGCGGTCTGTAAATAATCGAGTCTGGATCAGACAATCCAGTGATTGACATCACGAGCATCGATCAACTCTATTGGGATACGATGACATGCAACCAAGTCGTCACCCAAATCAGCGAGCCTGACCACCCGATCCCGTTTTTCGCCTTTTACGATAAGCATGGGTTGATGAAGACCTATTCTAACCCGGATCTTCACGGGTAGGCTTCTTATTTGATAAATAAGATAGGAAAGAAGAGAATTGCAGTTTCATTCTGTAAATAGTAGTGTGCATTTCACTGTAATCGAAGGCAAGGTGTGTTTGTTTTCGATTTATAGATCACCAGCAAGTGTACAGTATATTAACATCACATTTAATTCAGCATGGACAGTACTGTTTACTGCACAGGAAAATAACATGAATTGTCCACTATAGACAGCCATATATATATATATAGAGAGAGAGAGAAATACAAAAGATACGCGAATATCATACATGTTGTCTCGTGCAGGATTAGCGTGTAAAGTTTGGAAATCACGTGCAGCATATCGTGATAAGAATAACATACAGATATTTTAGGCCATATGACCTATAGTACAGAAGTGTCTTTTTTGGTACCGACATTGTACAGTCACGTGTAGGTAATAATAAGTTTACATATAATATAAGCGTCTAATTTCAAAAATCTTCTTCAGGAATATTGACAGAGATGATATTGTATTAGCATTGCGGGAGTTCATATATTCATCAAAGGGCATAAATTGTAAGTTCTTCACCATATTTGCCATATACCTATCTGACATTCCCCATTGAATTACATATTGTATGTGTAAACGCACGCACGCACGCACCCCCCCCCCCCCCCCCCCCCCCCTCCCTCCCACACACACACACGAATTTGGAAATACAAACATGATGTTCGATGTAATGAAGGGATGGTGTTACCCCACAGCTACCCCACCGCTCCAACAAATTTGCCAATGATTACTAAACACGCCCATATACCATTGGGATGAGTGATATCCTAACTAGGATTTCCGCTTTGAGTGAGTGAGTGGGTGAACCCCACAGCCCGCAATGTGACAGTACGGCCGCATCCAGGACCCACTGCAGACAAACCAGGGGCAATAGCAGGTATTAACCCCCTTATTCCCAAGTACCCTGTGGTACTAATTCTGAATCGGAATCCCGACATTAAACGTGTTAATAGTAAAAATGGAAAAAAACCGTCATAAGTGTAAGCATAAGGCACGTCATTTCCATTCCACATTGTGTAACTGTCCGAATGTCTTGTAAAGGGTTGTCTTCAAGGTTCTCCCTGACGTTTGCATACCTAAAATTAGCACGTGACCTGAATGTACCACTCAAGGCGCGAGCGAAATATGTCTCCGAAGTACGTGTTGTATGGGAGAAATTATATTGCGGTAAATATCCGTTTGTTTTGTTACACACAACCCATGGAATAAATGTTCGACAAGTACCTTCAGCTGTCTAAAAGTGAAGTGGTTTTCAAAGAATGCAAAATTATTGATTGGTAACGGCGACGGAAAACATTCCGCTGACTGTACTGTGCTATAAAGTCATGATGTTAATATGCATTTGTGAACAAATGATATCACTGTTTGCCTTCGAAGGAAAGTCCAGCTTACCTTGTGGGGACAAATAGTAATAATCCCGTTCAGAATGTAGGTACATAATTTATTAACTGAGGGAGAGAGGTCAAGATGAAATAGCACAGAGAGAGATTAGTGTGAGGCGGCGAGATAGGCAGAGAGACACAGTGTAAGGCGACGAGAAGCAGAGAGAGACAAAGTGTGAGGCGGTGAGGGGCAGTGAGAGACACAATGTGAGGCGGCGAGAAGCAGAGAGACACAGTGTGAGGCGGCGAGAAGCAGAGAGAAACACAATGAGAGGTAGAGAGACAGTGAGAGGCGGTGAGAGGCAGAGAGACACAGTAAGAGGCAGAGAGACAGTGAGACACAGTGTGAGGCGGCCAGAGGGGCAGAGAGACACAGTGTGAGGCGGCCAGAGAGGCACAGGGAGAGACACAGTGTGATGCAATGAGAGGAAGAGAAACACATTGAGAGGCGATGAGAGGCAGAGACAAAGTGTGAGGCGGTGAGAGGCAGAGAGAGACACAGTGTGAGGCGGTGAGAGGCAGAGAGAGAGAGACAGTGTGAGGCGGTGAGAGGCAGAGAGACACACAATGTGAGGCGGTGAGAGGCAGAGATAGACAGTGTGAGGCGGTGAGAGGCACAGAGACACAGTGTGAGACGGTGAGAGGCAGAGAGAGACAAAGTGTGAGGCGGTGAGAGGCAGAGAGAGAAACAGTGAGAGGCAGAGAGAGACACAGTGTGAGACGGTGAGAGGCAGAGAGAGACACAGTGTGAGGCGGTGAGAGGCACAGAGAGACACAGTGTAAGGCGGTGAGAGACAGTGTGAGGCGATGAGAGGCAGAGAGAGACACAGTGTGAGGCGGTGAGAGGCAGAGAGAGACAAAGTGTGAGGCGGTGAGAGGCAGAGAGAGAGACAGTGTGAGGCGGTGAGAGGCAGAGAGAGACAAAGTGTGAGGCGGTGAGAGGCAGAGAGAGAAACAGTGAGAGGCAGAGAGAGAGACAGTGTGAGGCGGTGAGAGGCACAGAGACACAGTGTGAGGCGGTGAGAGGCAGAGAGACACAGTGTGAGGCGGTGAGGGGCACAGAGACACAGTGTGAGGCGAGGAGAGGCACAGAGACACAGTGTGAGGCGGTGAGGGGCACAGAGATACAGTGTGAGGCGGTGAGGGGCACAGAGAGCGCAGTGTGAGGCGGTGAGAGGCAGAGAGACACAGTGTGAGGCGGCGAGAGGCAGAGAGACACAGTGTGAGGCGGTGAGAGGCACAGAGACACAGTATAGGCGGTGAGGGGCACAGAGACACAGTGTGAGGCGAGGAGAGGCATAGAGAGACACAGTGTGAGGCGATGAGGGGCAGAGAGAGCGCAGCCTGAGGCGACGAGAGGCACAGAGACACAGTGTGAGGCGGTGAGGGGCAGAGAGAGACACAGTGTGAGGCGGTGAGAGGCACAGAGAGACACAGTGTGAGGCGATGAGGGGCACAGAGACATAGTGTGAGGCGATGAGGGGCACAGAGACATAGTGTGAGGCGGTGAGAGGCAGAGAGAGACACAGTGTGAGGCGGTGAGGGGCACAGAGATATAGTGTGAGGCGGTGAGGGGCACAGAGACACAGTGTGAGGCGGTGAGAGGCAGAGAGAGACAGTGTGACGCGATGAGAGGCACAGAGACACAGTGTGAGGCGGTGAGGGGCACAGAGACACATTGTGAGGCGGTGAGGGGCACATAGGCACAGTGTGAGGCGCAGAGGGGCACAGAGACACAGTGTGAGGCGGTGAGAGGCACAGAGACACAGTGTGAGGCGGTGAGGGGCACAGAGACAGAGTGTGAGGCGGTGAGGGGCACAGAGGCACAGTGTGAGGCGGTGAGGGGCACAGAGACACAGTGTGAGGCGGTGGGGGGCAGAGAGACACAGTGTGAGGCGGTGAGAGGCACAGAGACACAGTGTGAGGCGATGAGAGGCACAGAGACACAGTGTGAGGCGGTGAGGGGCACAGAGACACAGTGTGAGGCGGTGAGGGGCACAGAGACACAGTGTGAGGCGACGAGAGGCACAGAGACACAGTGTGAGGCGGTGAGGGGCACAGAGACACAGGTGAGGCGATGAGAGGCACAGAGACACAGTGTGAGGCGGTGAGGGGCACAGAGACACAGTGTGAGGCGAGGAGAGGCAGAGAGAGACAATGTTACGCGATGAGAGGCAGAGAGACACAGTGTGAGGCGGTGAGGGGCACAGAGACACAGTGTGAGGCGAGGAGAGGCACAGAGACACAGTGTGAGGCGAGGAGAGGCAGAGAGAGACAATGTTACGCGATGAGAGGCACAGAGATACAGTGTGAGGCGGTGAGGGGCACAGAGACACAGTGTGAGGCGGTGAGAGGCACAGAGACACAGTGTGAGGCGATGAGAGGCACAGAGACACAGTGTGAGGCGGTGAGGGGCACAGAGACACAGTGTGAGGCGAGGAGAGGCACAGAGACACAGTGTTAGGCGGTGAGGGGCAGAGAGAGCGCAGTTTGAGGCGGTGAGAGGCAGAGAGACACAGTGTGAGGCGGTGAGAGGCACAGAGACACAGTGTGAGGCGGTGAGAGGCACAGAGACACAGTGTGAGGCGGTGAGGGGCACAGAGACACAGTGTGAGGCGAGGAGAGGCATAGAGAGACACAGTGTGAGGCGATGAGGGGCAGAGAGAGCGCAGCCTGAGGCGACGAGAGGCACAGAGACACAGTGTGAGGCGGTGAGAGGCACAGAGACACAGTGTGAGGCGGTGAGAGGCAGAGAGAGACAGTGTGAGGGGCACAGAGACATATTGTGAGGCAGCGAGAGGCAGAAAGGGACACGACGTGAGGCGACGAGAGGAAGAGAGACAGTACTAGTGTGAGGGGGCGAGAAGCATAGAGAGACACGGCGTTGGGTGACGGGAGAAAGATCCTGTTTAGGGTCTAGTTTGCGGCCAGTCGAGGCAGGGTGAAGCCGTACATGCCAGTAGCGTGGCGAGAGTCCGAGAGAGAGAGAGGGGGAGGAACAGCGTGAGGCAGAGAGAGAGAGAGAGGGGGAGGAACAGCGTGAGGCAGAGAGAGAGAGGGGGGGAGGAACAGTATGCATCAGGGAAATCATGTACAGGATACTTGGGACACTTGCAGTCGTGCTTAGTCTGGAACTACTTGGCTTCTCCGTTGGTAAGTACACGATACACTTAAACAAAACTGCATGGTTTACACAGTGTATTATGTGGAGTGTTATGAACAGGATACACGCTGTGTGTAACATTTTGTAAACTGTGTCAGTTGTTTTAGTTTAAAACAATTGTGGCGACAAATAGGTTTGAGATGTATGGTTTTGTATTAGGCGAAAGGGTGATTTTCGACTTTTAACTGAATTCATCTAACATATTTGGCGTCTAGCGCTTGAATGACATGGACTGGTATGTCACATGTCTGGTTAGTACGCTGTGTTCAGTGTATGGTGTATGTGTTGTTGCTGATCACTGATGAGAATCCTTTGTTCCCCCACCAGTGTGCAGGTGTACAGTACAACTGTACATAAAAGTTTCACCAGGCTCTGCTCATGTGTAACGGTAACATGCATTCAATGAATTGTAAGTTGAGTGAGTTGGTATATACAGTTTGGATAGGTATTAACGTTACACTATGGCGTGTCAACTTAATATGGGAAGAAAATATAAAAGTGACTCAGGCCACATTAAATCACCGGATGCTTAGGACTAAGGGATGTAGCTCTTCACATTGACGAGGATTGTTGCTCATGCTGTCAGTCATGGGTTTATCTTATCCTAAGTCCTTTAATCAAAGGTCGACAGGTCTCCATCTGTACGTGATGTACATATGCGTATCATATAGTAATATTTAAATGTAAACTTAATGAAACATGAACTTCAATTGTGGGCATTTTGTGAATATATAGCATCTCCGAACACGGTATATTCTACACAACAAATTAACATATATACAACACTGGTTTTCGTGTAACTGGTGACAATATATAGATTAGCTTTACTGTTAATTCCATTGGAAAACCGTTACATTTCTAAGAACCTTATCTTGTTTACTTTATAGATAGATATTTGTTTATTCGGTATTTAGAAGAAGATATACTATCGTGGCAGTTTTGGCTATACATGTCCGGTAACCTTTGTTTAACTGTAACCTTTTTAGCAGAATTTGTTTAACTGTAACCTATTAAGCAGAACTTGCAAGCGTACTTGAAAAATATAACTATAACACATTTGTAAAATTTATAATTTGTCATCACGCCGTGACCCGGGTTCTAACCTTCAACCTGAGAACCCGGATGACTGGACAACCACCTCCAGTGACTCATGATGGTATTATTGTAACGAGGCGGCCCAGTGTAGGTGATAACATCGGTGGGTATACACGCATGCACACGGACACTGCTGGTTGTATGTTAAAACCTCATTAAGAAACACTGCTCATTGTAATCGGTCTCTCAAGTGCAAAACACGGTGTCACTTGTCTCCCCTGGTTCAAGGCCATATATCGTCTGGGCTTAAGTTGTCCGCTTTGGATTCAAATACACGTTTGAAACAGATAATATTGTTGCCATACTGTAGAGTATTATGTTTTACTGTTGAGGGACATGGAGAAAAAACCCTGCTGTATTGCTTGGAACGGAATGTGAGCTGGATAGATAAATACGGTGCGTGTGCCCTTGCATGTCTGTTTTAATAGTTAAACAACAACAAAAACAACACCAACAACAAACAACAGTAATAATAAAAAAATAAATACACACGTATATTACGCTGTACTCATGCCCTAAAAACACGTTCACAGCTATATAGTATATTATGGCATGGTGTGGGGGCACGGGTGGCCCAGTCGTCTAAGGCGCCGCGATTCGCTGTGCAGAGTTGCGTCCCTTGGGCACGCCAGAAACCTATGATTGTGGGTTCGAATACCGGTTCGCCCCGATTAAGTTTCTAGGTTTGTCAGCACCATACCCGTGCTTGTGGGTTTCACCGAAGTGGTAAACTTCTGAGACCTGCATCACTTCGGGCTTTCCTTCAACATTAAGCTGACTCGCCGCGATATAACTGGAATACTCACTCACTATGTGGTGTGGTGTTTTTTTTTTGTGTGGCGTGGCGTGGCGTGGCGTGGCGTGGCGTGGCGTTGTGGTGAGTGCGGTATGGTATGGTATGGTATGGTATGGCTTGAATCTTTGGTTATGGGCGTTTGGGTACAGAGTGGTTTAATCAAAAGAAATCTCCATGTACGTCCATTGCACAATTCCGACTATTTCATAAACACGTGTTTATGATTAACTATCAAATAGTGTTGAAACCAGGTGTTCGCGAAAAGGTAAACGTGCCCCGTCGGTGGCACTCGTCACAACACACGCAAAGACAAGTCAATTGTTCACCTGAATAAACCGCAGGGGAATATTCTGTACAAGCCAAACTAGGAAATTGCAGCGAACATCAATTTGCTCACTGAAGCGTCAAATTTGGAAATGTCCTCCACATGTCTATCATAAAACGTTTTGAAAGAGACATGGAGGCCTTGCATGTTGCAACCCTGGTCAAACAACGTTTTTAGCAAGTGACATATGACGCTCTTTGAAATGTTTGTAGAAGGAGCGCGCCGCCTTTCACGATCGATGTTGCTGATGGATCTTAAAGTTGGAAAGTTGAAGTCACCCCTCTTGTCATACAGACTTGTGGGTGTTTCACGTTACTCGGAATCTTTCTGCACAAATCTAAAAATGAAACAGTTGAGACAATTCCACTGTCTCTTTTATTTCTAATTTATTTCTATACCTGAAGCTTAAGTGAAACTTCTTGGCCAGATTCCCCTGTTTTGATTTTGTGAATCCGAGCAGAATATGCACACATATGCACAAAGACTCCGATCAGCAAGGAGGGGAGGACATTTGGTGCCCATGGTAATGAATACATCTGTCAGACATGTAGATAGCATCGATGTGGCCATATTTGGAAAATAAAACAGTTCGTCACTTAGATGTTTTATTTGGCGACCGGAACGTATACCTACATGATAATTAGCACCCCATCATGTGACCCAGAAACCCCGACCCTGTGTTTCCCCACACACATAGTCTAGCAGGACTCTACCCACAAACACAGGGCACTCTTCCCAGTCTAGTCTGACACTTCAGGTCTACAATTAATATGTATTTGAGTTACAAATTTAGTATGTGAAATTTCCAAACCGAATGTATCTTTGAATGAAAATTAAAATCATTGATATAAAAATAATGTCAATTTTAATTTGACACGATTTGAATTGATTTTTTGACAAAGCGTTTATGGATAAATTCATTTGAGAAACCCTATACTTACGACAATTTGTTTTCCCATAATCAAAAGAAATCTCTGTTAAAAGCAGAGTCTATTGTACGATTCCGACTAAACGCTTGTAACGAGGCCTGACGCTTCGTGCTACCCCGACCTGTGGCATTCTGGAATCTGGAAGGGAACGCAACATTGGTAAGACGCGCAGATAAACAGTGTTTGAAGATCATTACCCTTCACCGACCTGTTTAACACTGTAAAGTCCACAGGCAAAGTTGACATTCCTATGCTTGATGTAAATGACCGATTAGCGTCTCCTTGCCACTACGTCTAAACCCAAGACTGCTTCTATAGATACCTTCTCATTTGCACCTCGCCGTGACGGACGGACGGACAACTGGGTTAATACAAGTGTACTGGAAGGTGATAGATAAAAACAGCTCGTTATCTAAACAAAAGATGTGTAAATATTAAACCTTTTAACAGAACGATTAAACGTTTTAAAATGTCAATGAAAGCATTATTTACCTTTTATACCACGTGATGTTTCACCAGTGGCATGTTTGGAAACAATGACACAAAATGTCACCGACGAACGTATCCAAATCTATCCCTTTAAAATAATTTGATCGGTCCCGAAATCGTTAAAGGGGTTAAATCCACTTCAGTCTAGATAATTATGGACTAAGTAATTAGTTCCTGTTTGAAAATAGGACATTGTCTCTAGGTAATAATGTCATCATTAACTGCGGGATATCACATCATTGGACTAGATAACCAAAGTAGTGTTTGAACGACTTGAATCAAACTACCACAATTTCCCCTAGACTAGTCCCCCTGTAATGCGTCACTAGGCAAACATAGAGCCCTTAGATCAATCGAACTGAAACAGTGATGAAAATACTAATTACTCTACAACGAAATTAACCCTTTCTACGAAAATTCAACAATCGGTCCCACAAACTTTAGTGCATATAATGGACATTAATAATTATCTATGTTGCTTTTAATACCAATTAAGTGCTTTGTAACAACGTAACATAATTTGGTTCGAAAAAACACAGAAGAAAACCCAATACCGCCAAGCTGTAGTATTTAGTGGTTATTGTTACTTTTATACTGGATCAGACCGAAACAAAGAGGAAAACGACAAACACAACATGGCATAATCATATCACGTCATGCGAACACCGGATTTTCAGTAATCCATTCATATAATTGTTACCACTATTTTGTCTTTCACGTCGAATGGAATCTGTTTCGGTAGCTAATCGAGACTAGTTATTCTCTGGAGTTGACGTTATATGTATAATTATGGAAGTGGTGTCGCTGCAGTCCTATTTGACTTCAATACGGAAAATATGACAGAATATACAGAATTTGACACAGAAGAGTGACATGTGGGAATAGCCAGACTGCTGTTTCTCTGTCGTTGACGTTTTATAATTACATGTTTGTTTGTTTTGTTTGTTTGTTGTTAAACGCCGCACTCAGCAATATTCCAGCTATATGACGGCGGTCTGTAAATAATCGAGTCTGGACCAGACAATCCAGTGATTGATATCATGAGCATCGATCCACGCAATTGGAATACGATGACATGCATCAACCAAGTCATTTAGTCTGACCATCTGTTCCCGTTAGTCGCCTCTTACGACAAGCATGGGTTGCTGAAGACCAATTCTTAACCGTGGGTCATATTTACCTGTAGTTGTGTTAGCAATTCATATCCGAGATTCAACACGAACTCCGCCAATAGACAAACCAACATACTAACGATATTAACCAGAAAATACAGTCAAACATTGACATAGTTTCCTGTCACATACATGAATCATAATTTGCTGCTAACCACGTGTCATCTGTGCATGTTCCCCGACC